CATCACTATTACAAAAAATGGTAATGGTCATGGTCATGGTCATTATCATGATGATACTCATCACCAGAGCATCATGATCATGGTCATGGTCATGATCATGATGATACTCGTCTTGGCCCTCGCCATCACAACCATCAGCATTAGCATCACCATGGCCATCAGCATCATCGTTCTCCGACGCCCCCCTGGCACTGAGACTGGGGAAGAGCACCACCACCCCCGTGCAAATCACGGGCGCGCCCAACACCCGCAGTCACCTCAGCGTCTCTGCCCCAGCGCAGTCGAAGGCGCTGCGGCATGAGAGCGTCTCGCGGCGAGCGGCGTCGAGCAAAAAACATCCAAAAAGCTGTGCCCTCAATGACCTGCCGGGGAGCAAGCGGAGGAATCGAAGAAACAGCAGGGGGGAGGAACCTTCGGCGGCAACTCATGGGAGCCCCCAATACCATCTTGTCAGCTCTTGCGAATCGACGCTAGTCGACGCTATCGACGCTAAATCGACGCTAAATCGATGCTAGATTGGCACTACATCATCGTCTCCCAAACGCTAATCAACACGAATCGACGCGAAAGACGGAAATAAAAGGGTACACCATGATTTGCTCCCGGAGCCACCTCCGACCCTTCCCCCGATGCTCAACTACTTCGGAGCCGCTTTAGCCCTCGTCCCTCCAAAATGCCGTACGGCACCTGGGTATCCGTCCTACCACGGCACGACCCTGACCCGCATCGCAGAGGCATCAACAAAAATAGGAAGAGACGGTCTGTGACCTGGCCGCCGCCCACCGTGGCCTCGGTGTCGTTGACGCGCGTCCGCTCCCCCGGCAGCGGCTCGCCGCAAGGCGGGCAGAACTTCTTCGGCTTCACCTCGTCCTCCTCGGCGCCACTTGCAAGATCACGCGAGAATCACGTCGCGATGGCATCGGCCCGGCGCAGATTTCTTGCACCGCGTGGGTTGTCGAAACCAAGATGTTTGTTTTGCAACTTGTCCGATAATCCCAATGTTTATAAATCGGCCGTTTCCCGGCCACCAGCGGCGTTCAACCTCGAACCCAGAACGCGCGCTGGGGTCGCCGCAAAGGTCGACACGACACGAGCGTACTGTCTACCGAGTGAGGGGGTAGCCTGGGGAAGGGGGTCTCCCAATTCCTCTAGAGAGATGTCGACCATCGCGAACCCCAAGCCGAAAGTTCTTGCTCCATGGAAGGGGAACATATACTATGTGAGCTTGGTGGTGTGAGCTCTGCCGTGTGAGCTGTGTGGTGCGAGCTATGGAGATGACAACTCTCAGATGCCATGTAGGTTGTGCAAGCTATATAGTGCCATACGTGTGGCGTGAACTGGAGATGAACGCTATGCGGTGTAAGCTAGGTGGTGTAGCATCCGTAGTGTAAGCTATGTGGTGTGAGCTATGTAGTGTAAGCTGTGGTGCAAACCATGTCGTGAAACCTCTGTGGTGTGAGCTATGTGGTGCAGGCTACGCGGTGCGAGCTCAGAGCACGGGGCGCCCACGAGCCAGCATAGGCGGCAACGTGGCGCGACCGCGGCGAACCCACCCAGCGCACGGGGCGCCCACGAGCGCGACCAAAGGCGGCACGTCCGACTACGAGGCGCAACCTCGACTGACCCACCCAGCGCACAGGGCGCCCGCGAGGGGCCGCCCCAACAGAGTACAACAAAATATGCCGAACGCCACGAACAAGTTAAACTAAGCTACGACGAAGAGGGACACAGGGCGTATGCCCCCCAACAGAACGTCCCTCTTCGGCCTTACCTGTTCGCCTCGTTCCTCTCTCGCGGGGGAGAACGGGGGGTGGGGCCAGGAGGAACGAGTAGTCAGGGCGAGCGCTTCGCCGATCTAGCTTGCCCGCCAACCTGTCGGGCTTTTGGCAATCGCGAGCCATTGGCCCCTCGCGGTTTAGCTCTGCACTCGTTTGTTACTTAGCATGACCGAACAAACTCCAGTCAGCTTCTCGTTCATTGTCGCTCTGAAAAGGCGCTACGCGTCACCCGCAAAGCGATCAAGAGTTTGCAATCCCGACTGGTCTCCCGCAACTGAACTCTTCATTCGTACCTTCGTTTACATGGCTGAAGAATCGTCTCCCATCACCCCTCTTGTTTCGAAAGGCACGAGCCATCATGCGCGATGATACAAACCCGATCCAATGGTCCCTCGCGTCGTAGTCTTCATTCGGAGTTTCACTGAGCATTGCATTCAAACAAACACATTCCATGACATGATCGTTTCGAGAAGGCGCTTCCCGTCATCCACCAAAGGGTCAGCGTTTTGCGACGCCGAACCAAGCATCCCTCGCGAATCAACTCTTCGTTCACGCCGCACGTAGCGAGGCCCACAACAACCACCGACGCCCTCTCGATCCCGGAAGCGCTTCCCGTCGCCCGTCGTGAGGCCAGAGGATCGGATGCGGCCGGGTGGTCTGACCTGGCTGGGGAAACAAGCATAACCAGCCTCGAACGTACCCCTATCCCTAAGATGGGCGAGCAAACGGCGAGGACAATCTTAGGGATAGGCCCTCAGAGACTGAGGGAATCCTTAAGATCGGCATCGAGGTGAGGTGATGTCAAACATAGGGATAATTAGGGATATGTTTCAAACTGGTAAAAGAAGTCGGGAGGGGGGACAGGGCGAAACCCGCTCCATACAATGCTTCACTCCAGACGACACGTTGTTGACGGTCCGGGGGCCGGGGGCCCGCACACGCCCCCCGGAGGCCGCACCAAGCGCACAGCCCCGCCCTGTCCAGCACATCGAGCCTGCTCCCCCTTCACGCCGGCCGTGGCACGTGCTGGGCCACCTCAGGCCCCCAGCATGACGAACGAACAACACGCACCCATGCCCATAAGGGGGCTACGGGTGCGTGTTGTCGGATGGGGGTCCCCGCACGAACGGGAGCTTCCCCCGGGGTCCGACAACTCGCACACATACCCATAGCCAGTCCTCCTCCTTCCGACCCTCCTATGGGTATGGGCGTGTGTTGCTCGGTCGTCACAGCAGGCTCCAGCGCTTCCCGTCACCTCTACACAGAGGCCTCCCAGAGGGGGTCCGAGCAGATGGGGTTCAGAGGATCGCATCGCGTCGCCGGTGCATCGCCCATGGATCGAGCTGCATCCGCGGCACATCGGCAACGTCAACGATGCACCAGCGGCGTCGGCGCGAAGAAAATCGGGCTGCACATCAAGCCGCATCGCCAATGCATCGGCGATGCGGACGACCCTCTGGCCCCATTAGCTCCGACCTTATTTGGGAGGCCTGGATGCTGTCGCCACGCGTCAGCCTGGCGTGAAAGCTCGAGGCGGGGACGTGGGTCCAACCGTCGCTCGGACGTCCATGCCCTGTTCATTGTTCGGTTTCGTGAGTGCTCCTTGGCTCGATGAGCCAGGCTGCTCCTCGATGGCTCTCGCCGACAAACAAATGCACACGTCCGAGCGATGCCAAAACGTGGGGACCCAGTAGGTACCGATACCGCTACTCGCGCCGCTCGTCGCAAGGGCCAAGCGGCGCCGCTTGCGCCGCTCCCGCTTGGCTTCGGACGAGGCGCCAACAAGTGCGGCATTGTACGATGTCCGCGGCACGGTCCCAGCCTTGGGGGGGGGGCAGTCCCAGAAGAAAGGCGGCGGCAAAAACTGAGGCCGAAGCGCTCGGGGAGAGGGGCGGGGAGTCTGGAGCGGAACGGCAAGGGAAGGAGTGAGGGGTTGGCATCAGACACAAATCCGTCTTTTCCAATCCTTTTCTCCAGCCCCACAGGTGGCCAAACAAGGGGCCATGCAGTTTGCACCTGACTGACAGCTTATGCCGAGCCGTCGTGGATACACGTGGCACCGTTCACATGCATGTGTCGCCAAATCGTACTGTATGACTATTCCTTGATGCATCTCTGGATCCAAACGCTCTTCTGTCGGGAAGACGTAAGACTCAGGTACGGGAAACCCAGGTTGGCCTGACGGAACCATGACAAAAAAGACGAGACCCAATCTGAAATGTGACGCGAACTCCCGCTGCAAACATCCCACGAAAACTGGACCGTCGAAATCTAAAAAGCGTTCGTCAAAAAAAAGGTCGGCAAACCCGAGTCCCGACTTAACCGAGTCTGACGTCTCCTCGATCGTGAACCACTGCGAACGAAACGAGGGGATAGCGCAGGGGATCTCGAAGCGGGCGTTGGCAGAACTGGGTTCACTGGGACATGGTCTAGTGATGTGTGCTGGGTGACCCCCCGCCCCGTTCCACTGCAACCGGAACTGCCGCCACCCGAAAAAAAACAGCTACGGCAGACCTGGCTTAGCGACTCTGGCTAATTCAAGGGCTCCGGGGCCCTACTGCTGACCGGGTCCCCGCCCCCTTATGTCGGGCGTGTCCCCCTACAGGGGGATATTCGACGAAAAATGCAAGATACCCCAAAAGTAAACCAAAAAGGTATAAAAAAAAGTCAAAAAATAGTCCCCAGACTATTTTTGTTGATTATTTTTGGGGTCTCCTTTCTTTTTCGTCGAGCATGCCCCTGTATAGGGGACACGCCCGACTTGACCTTACCCTGGGGGTCCAGGGCCACGCCCGAGCAGAATCTCAGAGCTTACCAGCCTCGAACGTATCCCTATCCCGAAGATTGACACGCCAAAAGGCCATGACAATCTTAGGGATTCGCCTTCAAAAAATAAGGGAATCCCTAAGATTGGCATCGTGATGAGGAGGTGCCCAGCATAGGGATAGGGATATGTTCCAGGCTGGTAAGAAGTCGGGACGATGTTCGTGCGTCGGGGACGAAACCCGCTCCATACCATGTTTCACTCCAGACACGTTGTTGACGGTCCGGGGGCCGGGGGCCCGCACACGTTCCCCGGAGGCCGCAACAAGCGAGCAGCCCTGCCCTGTCCAGAACCTCGAGCCTGCTCCCCCTGCACGCTGGCCGTGGCACGTGCTGGGCCACCACGTGGCCCGCAGCAGGCTCTCGCCGTCGCTCGGACGTCCATTTCCCGTGCATTCTCAGGTTTCGTGCGTGCGTTGCGTTGCTCGGTGGTCCAGGATGGTCCTCAAGGGTCCTCGCCGAGAACAAATACACCCTGCGAAATGCTTTAGAAATCATGGTGTAAGAAACTCATAGTCTCAGAACTTGAATAAAAAACCCAACATTTCCATTAAAATCTTAGGATTTACATTGAAACATTAAGAATAATCGAGACTCTGGCCGAAAACTTAAGTTTTCTTCAGCATCGCCTAAGGTGTACACGTGTCCGAGCGATGCCAGGGGCTCCAGCGCTTCCCAGCACCTGCACAGAGGCATCCCAAGAGGGGGTCCGGGGAGATGGGGCTCCCGGCTGGCAGAGGGCGGCTCCTCGGCCGCAAAGCCCACGTCGCTCGGGAACACGGGCCGCAGACCCGGGCCCTCGCCCACCGCGAGGCCCGCCGCGCGGGCGCCGGCGGCGGCGCAGCAGAGGCCCCCGAGCGCCGCCTCTCCTCGGGGGCGGCCATGGCGACGGCGACGACGACGACGGCGACGCTGCCGACGGCGACGACGAGGACGAGGACGAGGACGACGGCGCCGGCGACGGCGACGACGACGCCGATGATGGCGCCGACGACGAGGACGAGGACGAGGATGACGACGCCGAAGACGGCGACGACGACGACGATAACGACAATGGCGACGTCGTGGTTTTGTGGGCAGCCCGTGAATCGAGGACGCACCATAAAGGGCGCGAGGGCCTTGGAAGGCCACACCTGAACACAAACACCAACAAACACATCAACGAATAACAACAACAACAGCAAACAACAGCGAAAAACAGCAAACAAAAGCAAATCACAGCGAACAATAACAACAACACAAACAACGACAACCACAACAACAATAACAACAACAACACCATCACCATCAACAACAACAACAAAAACGACAACGACAACGACAACGACAACAACACCACAACCACCAACAACAACAACAATAGCAACAACAACATCAGAAAGGACAGCAGCAGCAACAACAACCACAAACAAAAACGCTCACAACCACAACACCAACAACAACACCACCAACAAAATCAAAAACAACCACGCAACAACAATCCGCATTGCCGGAGCCAATTCCAAACACGCTGCCAAGGACAGTAAATGAACGTCACGACCCCTGACGCTCATGAATATACACATATCAAATGTATAAATCGGAACAGGGAAAGCAGAACGATGCTATAACTCCCGCAACAAAAAAAAACAAAACAACATTAGCACGGGAGGTGATGGAAAAGCGAAGCCGAAGGATAACAACTCATTGGCACTGCCCTTCATTTTGTTCCTGGAAGCGTTCCGCGGACACGACATGGTCCCACTCAGGTCTCAAACCGCTCCCCGGGACCGGGGGGGTCTGGGGAGCACGGGAGCAACAGAGCACCCACATCCCTCCCCCAAGGACCCTTGACAACCTTGGCTATATCTATACATTCGTAAATCTGTTTCTATACCTACTATTCACTCATACATATATGTGTATATATATGTATATAGATGTGTATATATATAACATACATACTAGAGCCACGCGCGCTTCCCGCGCGCTTAGGTTCTAGTCGATTCCGAAGACGGTGTCTATTTCCATGAGACCTTTTCCATGTGGTCTTCCGGGTTCCTCACTTTCATCCATGCGTGATTTTCGGGCGGATGCGGCGAAGATCAAGGAAGAGTTTGTTCTGTAGCGTACAAGCGACGACCGGCGACGACGACGACGACGGACCACCGACGATCAACATCATTGTCACCTGGTCCACGTGTGCGGGAGAGGCGTTTCCGGAGCGTCTTGCAGGCGTCATGGGGGCGTCCTCGGGCCTCGACATTGGGTGGGCGGGTCGGGGGGTGCAGCCAGGGCCACGTGTTCCGAAGGGCTGTTCCGGAGAATGGAGGACGAAGAGCTTCTGGCGGGCTTCTGAGGGTCTGTGTAGGAGGCCTCCTGCGAGCTCGGTGGGGGTTTCTCGAGAGCTTCTCGGGTCTTTCTGAAACCCTACTGGGGGCTTCTTGGGGCGTCGTGGATGCCTCCTGGGAGTCTCTTGGGGCCTCCTGGGTGCCTGTTGGGGCAGATGGCGCCTCTGTTCCGGCATTTGGGGGGCTCTCTGGAGCCTCCTGGGAATATCTTGGGCCAGCTTGGGAGCCTCTGGGGGGGTGCGGGGCCCCTTCTGAACCCTCTTGGAGCCCTCAAGGCCCCCCCGGCCCCCCATGCGAACAAGAGGTCTCAGTTCTGGGCCCATCCCGCCACCGTGTCTGGGTTGTGGGTTAGAGGTTTCTCGGATGTTCGCTGGGGTGACGTCGTGGGATGCCTCTCAGGGGGCCTTTTGGAAACAGGTTTGAAACCTCCACGGGGGCATTGTGGAGCTTGTCGGACCTCTCTGAGGCATCTGTGGGGCCTCTTTGGAGCCTCTTGGAGCCGCTTAGGGGCCTCTTGGGGCCTCCTGGGGGCCTCTGGTGGCGAAAAGCTCGAAAGGTCGGTTCGCGTTCTCTCTCTTGGGCCCATCTTCGAGCCGTCTTCAGGCCCTCTTCAGGCCCTCTTCGGGGTCTCTTGGGCCGATCATGCGGCCCTCTTGGGCCGCCTTAGGGGCCTCTTGGGGCGAGTTTGGAGGCTTCTTGGGCAGTCTTGGAGTGTCGGCCGCTCGAAAACGTGAGAAAGCACAACATATTGGATAACCAAATTAAAATCAATGACTTGGGCGTCTGGCGGCTCTCTTGGAGGTGCTCGCGGAGCGACCTTGGGGCCTTGGGAGCCTCTTGGGCCGATCATGCGACCATCTTGGGCAGCTCGGAACGCCCTTGGGCCGTCTTGGCGGCTTCTTGCCGTCTCCAGAAGCCCGGGAGGACGCCTCGGAGAAGCGGAAAAAGCTCCGCGACTCCGAAAACGGCCCCTGGATGCAAAACATGGCCCCCGCAGCCCAGGGGGCGAATTCGGTTACGTGGGGTGGGGTGGGGGTGGGGGGGGGGGAAAGTGCGACCCCGGGCCGCGGGGCCCCGGACGCCGCTTACTTGTATACATATATATACATATATATATATATATATATATATGTTTTATTCGATGTTAGTATGTAATAAATATATATATATAAAATATATATATATATATATATGTATATATATGAATGTTTCTATATACGGCTGTTTCTATATATGACTGTTTATATATGGTATGATCCTATATATATGTGTGTCCGCTTCCAAATGGAAAAGATTCTGCCTCGGGACCTCGGGCCCTCCCGGAGCGAGCCGGCCCGCAGAGCGTGCAGCAGGCCCCGTGGGGCCTGGGGCTCCGGCCGTCGTATGCCCCGGCGGTCGCGGGAGGGCCGGGGCGATAGACACGGGCGGGCCTCCGTGCGCTCGTCCGCCCGGGGCCTCTCTCTTGGGAGCAGGGGGCCACGTGCGAACCCTGCCCCTACCCCCCATGGGGGTTGGACAGACCTCCCTTTAGTAAAACGTGGTTTAGTGAAAACGACCTGAGGCCTAAACCTGGCGGGCGCAAGCCTGGAAAATAACGGCCGCGGCGCCCTCTCGAGCACCGAAAACGGACAATTCACTAATCGACGTGTCACTGTTGGGGGTTCTGTCCACCCCCGACCCCACGATTTCTGAGGGGGAGGGCGGGGTTCACTGCGCTCGGAAGCTCCCGAACGGAGTGAAAACCCCGCCCTGGCCCTCAGAAATCGTGGAGGGTAGGGGCAGGGTTCGCATGTGGCCCCCTTGATCCAGATGCTGGCCGAAGAAGGTCAACGACTTCCCTAGACAGACAAGGTGGTACAGATCTCTTTGGCATGTTTGGAAATTCTGTGACAGAGTTCGTTCCATGGTGCTCTTTCGTGTCCTCATGTGCGGGCAACTGTGCGGGCCTCTCCTCTCTTGGGAGTCCTCTCGCCACCAGGTCGGGAGCGGCCAAGAGGGGGGTGTCCAAGAGGGAAGGGTGCAAATCATGACCGGCGGCATGTGCGCGGCCCAGCGGGGGGCCAGGGACGTAATGAAATAAGAAGAGGCGCCATGACATCTGGGAAACATCGTGGCCCCCGCCGGGATATCCCCCCCCCCCTGTAGGCGACGAGCCCAGGGGGGAAATGAGAAGGAGAAGGCCTTCTCAGAAGGCCGCGGGACTTCTCAGAAGTCCGGGGGACTTCTGAGAGGTCTCCTTAGCCTATTTCGAATACAGACTGGACTTCTCGGAAGCCCTCTCAGAAGTCCGGAAACTTCTCAGAAGCCTCGGAAGTCCCGCCCCTTCTCATTTCCCCCCCGCGCCCGCCGCTGACCCTGGTCATCACCCCCCTCTTTCCCGCCCCCGACCGGGGCGGGACGCCGCCATCGAGCACCGGATCCGGGAACGACCTCGGCACGGCGAGCCGGGGGGATCGACCGCAGAGCTGATCTGCCCCAAGATCAAGAGCTGCCCCAAGACCAAGACCAAGATAAAGATCTGCCCCAAGACCAAGATCAAGAATGTTGGATCTGCCCCAAGATCTGCCCCAAGACAAAGATCAAGATCTCTGACGAATGCGTCGAAGGTTCGCAAATCGACTGGGACCTGTAATTTTCCACGCGCATTCGGCGGGGCAACTAATGTCGGGGTGTATGCATTTCGTAGTCGGTCCTCTTCTCGAGAGAAGGACCTGGGGATCGATTTCGATCGGATTTGGACCAAGCGGGAAAGCCGCCGTTGTCTCAACTGGCCCTCTCCCGACTTGGGGGCTCGCAAAGGTTGATACGTATGCCCCTGAAAAGAAAATACCCTTCCGCGGACGACTACCAAGTCCGCGGAGGAGAAAACGCCGGGCGCTGGGAGAGGGGGGTGACAACCCACCGCGGCGCGACCACCAGACAAGCCGAAGAGTCGTCTGGCGCACCACCAGGCGAAGCTGATTGGCGACGCACCAATCGTTGTACTCTGGATCAGTCGACAAAAACAAGGAGTAGACAATTATCCTGGCGAAAGACCCAACCATATGCAAGTGTAAGTACCGAAAGGGTGCGCCAAAATGGGGCGGGGCCGCCATGCGAACCCTGCCACTAGGGCCTTCGGTGGAACTCCCTGTGGGGCCACGAACCGTGTGCGGGGTGCGCCAAAATGGCGTAGGGCCGCCATGCGAACCCTGCCACTGGGGCCTTCGGTGGAGCTCCCTGTGGGGCCACGAACCGTGTGCGAGGTACGCAAAAATGGCGAGGGGCAGCCATGCGAACATTGCCACTAGGGCCTTCGGTGGAGCTCCCTGCGAAACGTATGAAAGATGCGCCACAATGGGGCTGGGCCGCCATGCGAACCCTGCCACTGAGGCCATCGGTGGACTGTGGGGCCACGAACCGTGCGAGGGGTGCGCCAAAATGAGGCGGGGCAGCCATGCGAACATTGCCACTGGGGCCTTCGGTGGAGCTCCCTATGGGGCCACGAACCGTGCGAGGACTGCACCAAAATGGCGCGTGGCCACCATGCGAACCCTGCCACTGGGGCCTTCGGTGGACCTCCCTATGGAGCCATGAACCGCGTGAGGGGTGCGCCAAAATGGAACGGGGCCGCCATGCGAACCCTGCCACTGGGGCCTGAGCTCCATGTGGGGCCACGAACCGTGTGCGGAGTGCGCCAAAATGACGCGGGGCAGCCATGCGAACCCTGCCACTAAGGCCTTCGGTGGAACTCCCTGTGGGGCCACGAACCGTGTGCGGGGTGCGCCAAAATGGCGCGGGGCCGCCATGCGAACCCTGCCACTGGGGCCTTCGGTGGAACTCCCTATGGGGCCACACACCGTGTGAAGGGTGCGCCAAAATGGCGAGGGGCAGCCATGCGAACCCTGCCACTGGTGCCTTCGGTGGAGCTCCCTGTGGGGCCACGAACCGTGTGCGAGGTGCGCCAAAATCTGGCGGGGCCGCCATGCGAACCCTGCCACTGGGCCTTCGGTGGAGCTCCCTATGAGGCCACGAACCGTGTGAGGGGTGCTGAAACGCAAGGGAGGAAGGAGGAGGGGGAGGGGAGGAAGCGGGAGGAGAAGGAAGGAAGGAGGACGCGGGCGCTGTCTCTTCAAAACGAAGACCCAACACCACAAGATGGTTGGAAAACACATCCACAAAACAACCCTTGGTGTACACTCCGAATACCCAGTGGAAGACCGTCAACATGAGCACACCGAAAACACAGCCAGGCGAAGGGCCCGACCATATGCTGCTGCGAGGCCCGCAAGACAAGTGGAACGAAGGAGGGGGCGGGCAAACTGAAAGCGTCAGATGCGGCCCTCTCCTCGTAAGCAGCGCGCCATAGGAAGGACGTGGCACGGGGCAACGACAAAGAAAAGCGGGCCCTGCCGCCGTGGCCTTCGGTGGAGCCCCCTAAACATGTAAAGTGTGCGCGGCGAAATGGGCGCGGCGGAGGCACGCGGACCCTCCCGCTCGGGTCTTCGGTGGAACTCCCTACAAGACCACGAATAATGTAAGGGGCATGCCGGAATGAGCGCGGCCATGGCGTGCGGGCCTTCCTACTCTGGCCTTCTATGGAGCTCCTTATCGAGCCACGAAACGTGTACAGGGTGTGCCAGACTGGGTGCGGCGAATGCATCCCGCTGGAGGAGCTCCCTAAGGGGCCACGAAACGTGTGAAGGGTGGGCCGAAAGGGGCGCGGCAGTGGCCTTCGGGTCCTCCCATTGTGGCCTCCGGTGGAGCTCTGTACGAAACCTCGGAACGTGAGAGGGGTGTGCCGAAATTCACGCGGCAGATGCTGATGCTGACGCGGGATGGTGGTCTCGCTAGTGACGATGAAAATGACGATGACAATGACGATGATGATGACGATGATGATGCTGCTGCTGATGATGATGGTGATGGCGGTGGTGATGCATAGTATGATGATGATGATGATGATGATGATGATGATGATGATGATGATGATGATGATGATAGTGATGTTGGTGGTGATGGTGATGGTAATGTTGATGATGATGGTGACGGCGATGGCGATGGCGAGCGCGGGGGGGGTGCTGATTCAAAACGAGGACCTACAGGATGATTGGGAACAGTGAAAACAAGAACCCTTTGCCATCCCTCAGATACTTTTGCCTTGCTGCTCTCTCGCAACGGCGCAGGCGCTGACCCTCAGCCGTGCGATGTTCCATCGTTTTCTCGGGTCGCCTGGGTGTATCGGTACCAACCGCCATCTAGGAACAGACAATTGCTGCCTGGGGCAAGATGCATGACTGTCCTGTCTCACGCCCACGAGACAAGAGCACCATCCACCCCCACCCACCTTGGCACCTTCTCCAGATAGAGCTAGATGGTGTCCGATTGAACGGGGTCGGAGGATCTGGACGCGTCGCCGATGCATCGCGGATGCATAGTTGATGCATGGGCGACGTTTGCGATGCATCGGCAACGTCGGCGTGGGGAAGATCGGGCTCCACATCGACCCGTATCGCCGATGCATCTGAGATGCGGCGCGATCCTCCGACCCCATCCGCTCAGACCCCATCTGGGAGGCCTAGATCATGCGCCCCCTCCACAGAGGAGGTCGGAGCAGGGACCAACCGTCCCGGCATTCCTATAGGCCTACAGCTTTTTTGACATCTACGCCACGCCTCCAAAACCTTGGACTGACCAAGGAAACGAGCCAGCAGCGGAGTGGGATGCTGGCACCTTGACCTAGGCAAAAGCCTGAGTCACAGCGCAAATGCAACAGCTCGACGAGAGGCCGAGAGGACCTCTGCGTCCAAGTGCCCAAGCTCAAAGCGCACCTGCCGCAACATCTCTAAGAGAGGGGGCAGGCACACTGGGCCGCAGGAGGGCACTGAGCTGCAAGCGCAAAAGCTTCCTATTGCAGAGGCACTGCAACAGGAAGGCTCTCTCGTACCAACTGCCTTCGGCTGTGCAAGAGGGACAGCGGACGAGACAGCGCCCTTCCACAAGAGCCACGATGGCCCCAGGAGGTGGAGGGCAGGACGGAGGGACAAGCAACGTACACTCGCACGAAGACGCGCGCCCAACGCCAACAAAAAAAATGCTGGGGCCAGGAACCAAAGCTCAAGGCCACAGCAAGATCAGACGAGCCACTGTCAGGATGAAGTCACCCCCGTGCTCGGACCAGGAAGAAGCGCACCCTAGGTGTGCATGCACCTTCCCCCAGAAGTGGGGTGCCTGACACGCGTGCACGACGGACGCACGCACAACGAGAGCGCACACAACCAAATCAAAGAAAAAGATACGACCACCCACAAAAGGACGACGAGCCCACAGTCCCTGGTGCAGCAAGCGCCAGGTATAGGCCTACAGCGACACGCTCTTAGAACACAAAATGTTCTAAGAGCAAAAACGGTGTTCTTAGAACGTAAACCCGATGCGCTAAAACAAGGCGGTCTCAGCCAGAACTGTTCCAAGAAAAGCTCGTGCAGACCACAGCAGGTTCCTGCTGGTGGGCCTATAGAAAGGCCAGGACGCTTCGCCACTGCTCGACACAGAGACTGGCGCGCCGTGCTCGGCTCGGGGATCTTCTGACTCGGGTCAATCCAGACCCTGGTCTGCAGGAAACCAAAAACCTGCAATGCAGGACAAAAAACTGCAACGCAGGTCTTCGCAAACCAGGGTCAGCCAATACGCGCAGCCGCCTCGCGGCCACGAGCGGCTCGCTGAACCTGGGTCAGCCAGAGGGGGTCGTCGCAGGATCCTGCAGGATCCGGTGCCCTGGCTGACCCCCGTTTGCATTGCCCCCGGTCTCTTGAGCCCGATCGGCGCGAGGTGGGGGGGGTCCGACCAGCCCCGCGTCTCCTTGGTGATCCTTGGCGGCCTGCGACGCGGCCTGCGTCAGGATCTCCAGGCAGGCCTGCGGCCGCGGCGGCCCCGCCGCCCCCCTTGCGGAAGCCCCCGAGCTCCACCCAGAGATCCAGCGTTTTGACGAAATCCAGACGGGATCCAACGTTTGGAAGAAATCATGACAGGAGATGTTTCTAGAGGCCTCCTAGATAGGGGGGGAACGACACAATCGCCGACAGATCCGCGACAAGCTCCCGATAACGAAACACCGCACGCTCCTGGGCGAGATGGCAGCGGCTGAATGGACGATTGCGGGTTGATGCATGTCCACTGGAAACCTGTTCCCCCCTGACGTTGCCCACCCGGTTTGCCGGGTCATAGCTCGGCTCTCCGGAAGCCGTTCGGGACCATCCCGGCGCCCCCGGAAAGCCCTCGGCGAGGCGCAGCAGCTGAAGGCACTCCCGAGGCTGGAAAACCGACGGGAACATGCCGAAAACCTCGAACCTCGAACCCGACACGTACCCCCACCCTGTGGAGTCCATGCGTTGCTCCACCCACCCCACCCCTTGAGCAGGGACCGACCGTCCCGGCATTCGTATGAGCCCACCACGACATGTTCTTAGAACCCGAACATGTTCGAAGAGCAAAAACAATGTTCTCATAACGTGAGACCAATGCGTTTACACAAGGCGGTCTCAGCCAGAAATGCTCCAAGAACATGTCGTGCAGACCACAAGAAGGGTCTTAGAACATTCTTTGGTGGGCCTGTGGGCGAGCCAGGGCGCGTCGCCACTGCTCGACAACCCCACCCCGCCGGGGGGCCTGCGGATCCATCCCGCGGGCGCGCCCCGCGGACAGGGGTCCCCTGGCCGGCCGGCGCCCGGGCGAGGCTCTACGGAGGCTGGGCCGCCATGGCTGCCTGGATCGACGAGCGCCTCGAGTGCTGCGCGCTGCGGTCGGCGGCGAGCGATGACGACGACGACGACGTCGACGACGACGACGACGACGTCAACGTCGACAACAATGACGACGACGATGACGACGACAACGACGTCGACGTCGACGTCGACTCGGCGGTCAGCCAGGGAGAGAGTGAGAAAGGGCAGGCCTTCTCAGAAGGCTCAGAAGTCCCCCTGGCCTCCTGAAACAGGTTCTGAGCCGTCCCCGAAGGCACGCAACCAAAAACTCTCACAGGGCTGGAGGCCTTCCGAAAAGCTCCGCCGACTTCTGAGAAGGCCTTCTCCCTTCTCATTTCCCCCTCGCTCGCCGCCGATTAGGGGTATCTGAAACCTGTGTGTTGCCACCCTCTCGCCCACTCCTCCTCCTACCTCCTCCTCCTCCTCCTCCTCCTCCTGCGAACCGCCCTTGCTGCTCACGCGTCCCTCATGGCTGCCCCGCTTCCTTGTCTTCTCTGGTCCTGCCTTGGCTTCCAGCGCGGAGCGAGGCCTGCGCCTCGAGGCCCGATGGACCCTGGGCGACCCTGGCCTCCGAAGACCTTCCAAGCACTCTGGGCGCCTCCACCGAGACGACGCGGTCGGCGGCGGCGGCGGCGACGGCCGCGGCCAGAGACCCACGGGAGGCACCGCATGCTCCTTGGAGAAACGGGGGGGTGCCGTGGCCCTGTCTGCGCTAGGCACCAATCCGATCATTCGACGAACGGGCGGCTCGATGGTCGGACCGAACGACTGGTCGCCAGGCTGATGGAATATCACGTTGCTGCTCCTACTCCTCCCCATCGTACTCCTCCAACTGCTCCTGTACTGCACATCCTCCTCCTCCTCCTCCCCCTCCTCCTCCTCCTCCTCCTCCTCCTCCTAGTGCTGCTACTACTACTACTACTACTACTACTACTCCTTGTACGCCTCCGCCTCCTCATCCAGGTGATTACCCTGCCCCGCCTCATGCTCGTGCACGTCCTCCGGCTCCACCTGGTCCTACTCAATTTCTTCCACAACCTCCGTCTTGCACCCACATCTGCCAATGCTTCAAACTCTTCGTCCATCTCGATATCTCCCCACCTTCCGTGAACGTCTGCCCCCTGCTGCGCACCAACCCCAGACCATGCTCCGAATCACAAGTGTGCACCATGATAATCCCAGCAACCCTCTACTCGTAGGTGGTTAAGTGGGCCAGCTATTCAATGTCCCGTTCTTCCCTTTCACTTTCAGGGAGGATTCACAGATTCCTCCACTCTTCCATGGGGTCTTGACGGAGGGATCGTGAGGGGTTACTAAGGGTCCATTTGCGTCCTGCGCAGAGGCCCCAACATGGCCAAACTAAAACTTCAAGATGTCATCCAGAATGCTGCAAGATGGTCCAAGCTCAATCAACTTTGCCGCCAGCATCGAAGGGGCCCAGGTACACACAACAAGATATACACACATCCAACAACTCCCAAGATGTTCCTTATTTCCCGGATGTGCGTCTTCCCTTCACATCCCATACTTTCTGCATGTTCCAGCAATCGGCTATTAGTCGTGTCTGTGTTTTTTGTTCACTCCTGATCCAAGAACGCTGGTGAGGGGTGGGTCGCGGGGCGGCTCGCGCAACGGATCGCGGGCCGGGTGTGGGTCGCGGGGCGTGTCGGGGGTGAATCGCGGGTGTCGGCGGTGAGCGAGAGGGGGCAGTGAGAAGGAGAAAACCTTCTCGAAGAAGGCGGGGCCTCTAAGAAGCCCCTGGCCTTCGGAGAGTTGTTTGTTGCGTGTCCTCGGGAAAAGCCTAGAACACTCTTCAAAGGCTGGGGACGTCCGAGCCCTCTGAGCCCCCCAGGCTGGCCGCCGACAAGGGCATCATCGTCATCGAGAGAATGCAACGCCTCACTACACCGAGTCGCAGCACCTGGACACGAACGGCGACCACCTACGAATCTCGGGTACTCCCTCCTCCTCGTCGTCACTGTTCCCCCCTCTCTTCCCTCCTCCCCCGACCCCCTGCGACGGCCGCCGAGGGCCGAACGCAGGTGCGTCGCGGAGCGGGTCAGCACGGTCATTGTGCAGGCGGCTGTGTCCAGAAGCTGTGGGGGATCCAGCGTTGATCTCTCAGGATTGCGGTCAACGTTTGATTACGCTTGCTTCCGCCGAACTTCCACCCGCAAAGACGCCCGCAAGGCACTCCCTCATTGTGTCCGCAGGCCTTCCATGGGCTTTAGCAGGAGGCGAGAGGTCAACCCTTCGATTCCTAAAAGACGAGGGCCTTTTGCGAAGCTAGCCGTATCCGCCACCGTGCCCCTGTGGCACGGAGTGGAATTTCCGCAGGTCCGTTGCCGGGTCCCTCAAGCCTCAATCCTCACTCCTGAGGATTCTGAACAGGTCCTGGACGCCAAATTCTTGAATCTTTCAGGGCTCCTCGAGTGCCTCATCAGCCCCTTCGCGGTTTCCAGCATGATTTCATCGGGCCCAATAGGGCCGCAAGACGAGCCAAGAGGGCCAAATACTCGACGCACGATCGGTCCTAGACGCCCAAGATGACCCCAAGACGGCCCAAGAAGCCTTCGAGGTGGCCCCAAGACGGCCCAAGATGGTCCCAAGAGGCACAGCCAAGAGCCTTCACAAGAGGGCCCCGAGAGGCCAAAATCATTGATTCTCCAATGGTCGTTCAATGTTGTTCGGCGTCCTCGATTTTTCGAGCGTCCGACGCTACGGCCCAAGAGACCCAAGACCGCCCAAAGACGACCCAAGCGGCCTCCAAGAGGGCCAGCCCAAGAGGACTCCAAGCCGGCCGCGGGCCAGTAGCGCCCAAGACTGCCCAAGATGGCCCAAAGACAGCCCCAGGGCGGGCCACACGAGCTGGAACACGATATCGAGCCGCATCGCACGTGAATCGGAGGCGCGGCACGCTCCTGCGCTCCTGGTCGGAACCTCTCAGGGAGGGCTCGAGATGAAGATAGGGAAGCCCAAAGAACCCGATGTCTGGACTTTTTCAATACGGGGCCCCCGGATGGCCCCCGGATGTCTCGACCCACTTCTGGGGCACAACTTCACATCACATCCCGATTAGTTTGCAGACGGTACTGGGGCCCTGCGAGGGCCTCCCAAGGTTGGGCACTGAGGGAAAAACTCCATAGTATCGAATATCTTGCTACTGCTCCAACCCGATTTTGAGGGCAACCTCGATCCTGGAGGGACCGAAACGAGAAGCATAAACATGATTTCTGGCGCCAGCCCTGGCGCGTTCCGCGCGCCCCGGGGTCCCCAACGCCGATCCAAGAAATCCGCCCAGACAGTCGAGACATGATGCTTACGCTATTCTAACCCCCACAAGAGCATCGACGGAGCCCAGCGGCACAACACGAGAGACGAACGACGGACGCCAGACGAGGACGACTGGACAAAACACCAATCCTTCGACGTCCTCGAAGTGCTCCTATCCTTCGACGTCCTCGAACGACGGACGACGAACGAGGACGACGATGCTTACGCAAGCGAATCTGAAAAACAACAAAATGGCATAAACATAAACTTCCCCCCTTCCAGGCGCGCGGAACGCGCCAGGGGCGGCGCCGGAGGCGCCGCCAAGGGGGAGCCCGGCGCGGATCCAAGAAATCCGCGCAGATCGCCAAAAGATTACGTTTATGCCGTTATTTCCACCTCGACCTCCGACATGCAGCCCAACGGGCGCAACAACCGAGACTGGCCCAAGATTGCCTCTCTCTCTCTCCTCCGCGAGCTCACCCCCACCGCGAAGGTCGAACGACGGAGGACGGACGAGGGCGACGCTGCTCACGCAGGCGGACAACAAAGTGCGGCCACCCTAAAACAGGGCTAAGATCGGGATAAATCGCTCCAGAGCGTTCTGGAGCGCTCTCAGAGCGTTCCGGAACGCTCTGGAGCGGCCGCGGCGCCCAATACATCCTCCAAACCCGCCGATTCTCAGAGATTTCGAGTTATCCCGATCCGATTTTGTCGCGATCTTCGCGTCGTTTGACACCCGTCCCCCCCCCTTGGGGGCCGTCCTGCACGACGGCGCGCCGCTTCCGCTCCGCGTCTTCGCGGCCGAGCCGCCGGCCCGCCGCGCCGGGCACGGCGGGCCTCCCAGGTCGGCCCGGGGCCCCCAAGAGGATCAGGAGACGTGCTGTGGCACCCTCGGGGGACCTCGGCTCCACCTCAGCTCCACCCCGGCTCCAGGGCGCCCTCCCCCCTCCTCGGTCCTGCGCCGCCTGCTCTCTGCCTCTCCCCCCTCTCCCCCTCCTCCCCCCCCGCCCCGAGAAGCCTGCCCACGCAGCGGCCGTGCCGAGGGGCTGGCTCGCTTAGAGGAGTCAAGGGAAGGCAGGAACAGACGCTGTCGACGGTCCGCGCGGATTTCTTGGATCTGGGCTGTACCCCCCCTCCCTTATGCTGCATCCCCGGGGGACCTTGTCTGTCCCCTCGCAGCCCTATCCGCGTCGACTCCGCGTCGGATCCACGCCCAGTCCACGTCGAGTCTGCATATCGAGCCTGCGGCGGGCAAAAGAGAAGACACAAATTCTGGGGACAGGCAAGGACCCCCGAAGATGCAACGTAAAAAGCAACTCCTGGGACGACTTCGCCAGAACGACTCGGGGCTGGTGCGTCCGATGAAGGAGCCACTGAGCCAGATTAGTCCGGATCAATCTCAAGAGTGGGCCCGATTGAGCCCGGAGCACGCCGGATGGGGTGAGTGGGTGGGCTGATTGCGAGAGCAGTGGAGTTGACAACTCCGACTTCGTTCAACATTGATGGCACCACGTAGATTGCCCCACATAGAATGCAGCGCATGGCTTGCACGATTGGCTTTTTCGCGCCTGCGGCGCGCTTTTCGATCGCTCACAACATTGGTTGCACCACACATATTGTTCCACACATATTGCACCACGAGGTTTGCACCACATACACTACACAGGTAGCTAGCACCACAAACATTGCACAACATATATTGAATAACGACACTTCTAGACACACACGGTTTGGGGCCCACGGTGGCTCAAATTGTCCGTAA